AATTAAGAGTTTATAACATACACCTGATGACGGCTCTATGAAAGCCGAAACATGTCGAGAATGTTCCATATGTAAATCGAGTACTCGATACGGAACAAAGGATAATATTTTAACCATTTAATTACCTTATATTACTTTATTGTGATTGACGGACAATTTTAATATATTTTAATACTATTATATTTAAAATTAAATGGATGTCATTCAAGACTACAAGTTTGCGTGTTTGAACTACGCGCATATTGTGAAGTTTTCTAATTTTAAGTCCTTGGTTTTGATGGTTCGATATTCATCACTGCTAAGACTTCAGCCTCAGTGGCTTAATAAAAAGAAAACATACATTAAGAACGTGACGAATGTATGTCGCTGTTTCTCGTTTGCTTCCATTGTACGAATATAATACAGTGTGACTTACTGTAGTGTTAAATAAGAACTTTTAAACAAGACTGTGCTAAAAGACGAAATACTTTAAAGTTACAGGCATTTTTTATTTCGTCTAAGAATGGAGGTAACATATCTCTGATACTTCAAGACTGTCCTTTGTTATACTTCTCTTCTATTCTGTAATTCCCATTCCCCATATTCACCGCTGCTGTACCTACGTACTTACAACAGAGTCTTCATTATTCCTACTCCTTTGTCATTGAATCCAATCGAGTTCACGAGCCCTACACGGCTCGGAGACTGAATGCATTTGCCACTGCTACGAACCCAAAATGAGGAATTCCTTTTGTCTCCTTTAGGGGTCGCGTTCCAAATAACCTGGGTTCTTCTAATCATCTTATTGTTTGTGAAATTTCTCCTTCATCTCAGTTTCTAGTTCTGGCTTTCTTCCTCAAGTTTATCCCTTTTTTCTCTCTATCCATTCGTTCCATCTCTTTTCCTCTCTTTCATTCTGTGTTTGTATTTTTTTATCTTGCGGACCTTTGGAAATTTATTAAACGTATTTGTCATTTATTGACGTCTCTTTGTTTCGTCTTGTAGGATTTCGGGTTCTCGCGGCGGTAAGTACAAATATGGCTGTGTTCTGGGTCGTAGCGCTGTGTAGTCTTCTAGTCGGATAAAATTCCCTGATGATGGAGACAGCAAGAACTTCCGAAACGTTGGTAAACTTCTACCAGACTACACGGCGCTACAACCCTGAAGACAGCCATCTTCGTATTCACCGCCTTGAGAACCTCAGATTTATCAAAGTCCTGCTCTCTTCTTTCTGAGAGTGAATATTCACCAAGTGGTTAGAAATGCGAACAGAAGTTTTGAGGGAAATCCTGTACAGTTCCAGTCGGAGGATCTAAGCGTAAATGGGTGGATAATATTAAAACGGGTCTTAAAGAAATGGGTTAGGAGGATGTGAACTGGATTTACCTGGCTCAGCATGAGCACCAGTGCTGGACTTCTGTGAGCAAGTTCGTGGACCTTCTGGTTCTTTAAAGGACGGGAATTTATTGACTGACTGAGAGACTCTTGGTTTATCATCAAGGACTCTGGTTCATGGAGTTTGATTTGTTTTTAATTTAGATGTGCAGTAGATTTATTGTTTTTTCGTACTACGTACCATGATCACTTGTGTTGCGGCAAGGACATTGGGACAGACTCTAAATGCCTCTGCTGTGGTTTTCTGATTGTTTCCGATGCTGCTAGATGAAGAAGGGGGGTTGTAAAGAGACTGCTTTTGGTTCAGTGGTAATAGAGAACAGAACTTGGATTGCTTTGTCTTTCTACTTCGCAGTCGATGCTCGTGATAAACCGACGTTCGTTTGTTCGTTTGTATTCTGCAGGGTTTCCAATGCTGTGTTCTAGAACGAAATGAAGACACTGACATATGCACGAGGAAACAGAATTTTATGGCAAACTTAATGTGCAGTCTCACCGGAGTATACTAAGGAAGACGGATTATACATATTAGATTAGAGCCACATATTGGAGCCGTATTTACTGACATTAAATTTACCACTTGGTTGAGATTTAAGGTTACGATGGCGAGCATGAAGGTGACTGACTGTCTTCTGGAATGTTCTGCAGTAAAGTCTCTTAGAAATTGACCGATGTGTCAGAGTTGCTTTTTGCCTCCATCATCAGTATTAGTATTTTATGTTGTTTATTCTGTTTGGGATTTGAGGTTCTGATATATATATATATATATATATAATTTACTTTTTATTTTTATTTCAATTATGATTGATCTTTTTACTACATAGTATTGTGTTATCTATATAAGTGTTTTATTGCAACTTGTCTTAAACTTAAAAATATTTATGCGATTTTTGATTCTGTTATGAATAGCTATATTTTACTGCACGTCGTAGAGACATATAATCGAAATATTTGACGGCGATGGTCCCGGCACGGCCTTTTCGCCATGTGCGATCACCGCGTCGGCTGCAGAATATTGTTCCGGCGGCACAGCTGCCAAAAATCTTCAGTTTTTTTTTTTCAGTGGACTCTTTTCCTCGTCTGGGATGTTCTGTCTGCTCAGAGTAGTGACATAACATAACGAAAGTTCTGTCGTATGTTGCAGAACTTGCTTGTCGCTAGAGGGCGGGTAGAAGGAGCAGGCCATGTGGACGTCGGCAGTGGCTT